ATTGAACTATACAGGATGTTTGAAATACATGAGCGGATGGTGTTCTATGAGTTTTGCACTGGTACTCTGACTTTTGCCTCTCCTGATAAATGTGGGATAAAACCTAGTTTGACCCCATCTGCATAGACAAAACCCGATACTCTTCTCACATGGTCAGGAGACTTCCATGTTATATGGTTCCCTCCAAAAGAGCTAGATTGCCTGGGTAGCTGTCATTCTTAAATCAAATTTATTTTATCTTTTGTCCTGGAAATAACCTATTCCCTTACTACTGAATGCTCATTTCATGTAAATTACCCTGGAAAATGGTGTTGGTTTGTTTGCAGTGGAATTTGCAACAAAAGACAACCTTATGTGGGACATAAGTCGTTTAGGAATAGGGACTACTTTTGTGATTTCTTAAATTGCTTTAATTGCACTTGCATTATTCCTGCAGGTTTTAATGTGTTTGCTTCATGGAGACAAACTTATCTTTCAGCGCCAGCCGAATGTACTTCATTTGTTCTATATCTCGTTGCCTTTGTATTCAGATAAGCCTTATTAGTTCAGAGACATCTTGGTTTGTGCAGATGCTTGAAGCAAACTAAATTAATAAAATTCAGGAGAGGAGTTTTCAAATGAATCTTGAAAGCAAATCAGAATAGAAATCAGGCTTGCAAATGTGCAGAGTCTATTCTGAAAGGAAACGTTACCTTATGTTGCTGATTATCAGATGTATATTGTCCTCTACCTTATTACAGAGCAAATCTCAGCATGTTGCAGCTAGCATTTTATAAAGAGAATATATGCTTGAGGATTTGTTTTTACAAGCAAAGCTATAAGATTCTCTAGTGTCAGGATGTCACCCAATAAGATATAGCTTTTGCATTGTTATTTTAACAGCTTTGGTAGAAATCTAGGTTTTAACTTGAGGTGTTAAATATGAAATATTAATTGTATTAAAGATTAATTGAAAGAAAACTAGTAAAACTTGTAGAGAAAGATGCACTTCTAAAGATAGGCGTTAATGGTATAAGGTGAATGTGTAAATGGACTGGGTCTGTATCCCACCACAAAAGACTATACCAACTCACTAGGATTTAGTTGGATTAGCAACTTTAAAAAACAGTAACAGAAAGAAAAATGCACCTTAATAATCTACTAAAACCTGTCAAAGCTGTGGATTGCAAAACACCAGGTGACTTCTTTTATGTGGCCTTCCTAAAGATCTTTGTCATAGGCGTATGGAATAAATAGTAAAAATTGAGAAGAAAAAGCATTGTCCTAAATCAGAAGCTGTCTTAGATACAAAGCAAAGAATAAGGAAAAAATTCAGTTTTCATCAAGGGTATCACTAGGGTATCACAATATTCCATTGCAGGCCCAGTATTTATCAAGATGCTAATGACCCAAAAGAGGAAAAGAATGAAATTTGCAGAGGACAAACTGATCCCAGTTAGCCAAAACCTGAGAGGCACCTAACAAAATTATGTGGATGTGCTGCATGAGTGCAGATGGCACTCAATAGTGACAAAGACAAAGCAATTTATAAGGGATTATTTGAATCACCCATACTCACCAGTGTAGTACAAAAAAAGACTTGAGTATCCTTGTGAACAGCTGAATGCAAACATCTGTACAGCAAGCAGGGGCAGTAAAAGAAGTGCATAAAAACAAGAAAGAAAATAAGATGCTTAGTGTGCAAAATATCTGGCCCTGTGAAGTCCATGGAAATTTAGGGTGCACAGTCCTTCATAAGATTTGTTCAGTATCTCAGTGGATGGGGCCTATACTTACCAACTGTAGTCCATATTTTTGCCTGTGAAATTAGACAGCAGGTCTAAACAATGTTTAGTTATCATGGTCTTCTATTTTGACCTTGACAGAATATAATTCAGTAGCACACTACTTAATCTATGGTTTATCTAAATGCATGGATGCAGTGACCTCCTGCACTTGTATTATAAGGCATTTTTCCAGTGTTTGGAAATGATAAAAAGAATTTAAAAAACAGTCCAAAAATATTAAAATAGTCCAAAAGGTCTGTGAAGCCCACAAAAGTGTTGTAGAAGGCAAGGCTGTGACTTATAATTGCTCCTGATGCACGGCAGTTAGGGATCTTGCACCCTGCAGCATCTGTGTGTAATGGAAGTGTTTTCCTCTGCCTTGACCCAGCTCTTTCAAGAGTTAAGAGAAAAATGTAGATAAATTCACATCTGCATACAAATATCCATCGTCTCTGCAAAAAGGAAGTTAGGTGCAGAGGCAGTGCAAGGACAGCACTAATGAATTGCCTAGGCAGCACTAGGACCCCGAGGACAACTCTGGCTTGGTCATGATCTACAGAAAGGAGTGCTGCATGGGCAAGACCAGGGGAGGGCCACAGACATACACTCAGTTCTCTCTCAGGCCTGGTAGAGCCTATCCAGAAAAGATAGTTCAGCAGAAAAATAATATTTTACATGGCAGAGTTTTTCTAAGGTCAGGTTTTTTTCAAGGGTAAGGGGTGGGATGAAGCTTTATCTTCTAATCTCCTCCGCATATCATAAGTGAACACCACAGCAGAAAACAAGGTGGTGTCTTTGTTTTGCTGATCCTCCTTAGCTCTTCCATCTACGAAGCATTAATTGTTTCAGGCATCAGTAGTGTGTGTGTGTGTGTATATATATAGATATATATATATCTATATATATCTATACACACACACACACACACACACACACGTGTCAATATACATCCTGTGTTTTAAACATATTAAGAATGCCTACTTAGTAGTGTGTAGCTGTAGCTAGAGGGACAGAACAGCAATTTGTTACTGACTCTGTCTTTGTGGATACATCACTCCGGGTTCTGAAAGATTGGGGACATCTAGAGGCCCTGGAGGAGTACATGAGAGGGAAATTAGACTGCATGCAGTATTTTAATGCAAAAAGCTAAACTTTAACTTCAGAATCCAGCTGCATCAAAACTATGCGAAAAGCACAATTTTAGTAATCAAGTGGGAAAAAAAATGGAGCTTCATGGTAAGATTCCCGGTGAAATAATTAGCCAAGTCTTTACTGTATCTGGCTAATTAAATCCCCATTCTGTAATTCCACTGAAGCACTAAAAAACAAACTGCATTGAAGCCATCAGTCTAATTATATCATGCTCCTAACAGTGTTTAATTGCAAAAGGGTTTATATTTGCTTAATACACCACCATCCAAAGCTGGCTAAGATCACAAGTTGGAGGCTGTCAGTGATACCATTCAGTAAGAACCTGAACAGATTAATGCCTGTTTCTTTCTGCTGCACAGAACCTGAAGCGTGTGGCAGAGACTTGGATGGATGAGTTTGCAGAATACATTTACCAGAGGCGGCCCGAGTACAGACACCTCTCCACTGGTGATATCTCTGCCCAGAAGGAGCTTCGCAAGCACCTCAAATGCAAGGATTTCAAGTGGTTCATGACTGCTGTGGCTTGGGATGTCCCCAAATATTATCCACCTGTGGAACCTCCACCTGCTGCCTGGGGGGAGGTGAGGAATAGACCAGCTACATCAAATTTAACATCATATCCCATCTGTATTACCTTGCTTTTCGTGCAAATCTACTGTAACTTTCTGCATTATAAGGAAGCTTTTATGAAATTAGGTTTTGTTCTCTTAACCAGTAGTATCATTAAGGGAGTTTGTAGCAATTAAAGTAATTTGTGAAACAGATATTGAAATAAGGAATTGCCATGTCTGGTGCCTATGGCTGTTTCTGGTGTGATCCATTAAAGCCCATGTCCACAGTCAATTATGCATACACAATAAGGGTAGCATAAAAAATAACAGGTAGGAATCATGATGAAATATTACAGGATGGCTTTGAACACTGAGAATGTAATTATTAAAAGGAAGGTCTAAAGTCAGCCTTAAAAATGGTGATTTTAGTCTAAGCCCACTAAAAATAGGTACATGTGGATGCGCCCACTATGAGGTATCTGCATGTGTGCGTACGGTTCTGCCTAGTCACTTGTGTGCTGAGATTTGCCTGTTCATGTGAGGACACAAGAATGAATACATGTTCTTCTAAAAGTTTTGGCCCTGCTTCCCTAAAATCATAGTAAAACTCCTAGTGGCATTTTGTTGATGACATCTCAGCTGAGCATTGGACTGTAGAGAATGGAAAGAATTCGAGTGATCTTTTTGAACAATCACATTAGCCTTTTGACTCTAGAAATTGCAGGTTATTGATTCCATTTTTAAAATACAGATTTTTTTCCCCCCAAACGATGCATTATTATTAATTTCAAGGGGGAAAAAAATCACTTTTTAAACTGTTTTTTTTTTAACTTTAGAAATATGAATAAGGTCAATTCTGGCTTTTCCTGGGTTTGCTAAAGGACTTTTGAAAATTATCAGTGAGCTATTACACATGAATAAAGGAAAGTAGGGGCTGAAACTTTAAGAAAAACTTTTGCTGAGAACCCTTCAACCACCAGGGCTAAGCACAGACAGTCAAAAAGCCTGTGGGGAGGGAGGATATAAATCCAGTTTTCACAGGTTTCTCTAAGCTGCATAGGTTGGTCCATTAATGAAGGGAACTCATGTTCATTCTACTGTTGGGGAATTCAGGCAGATGCCTGCACTGGCTAAGGCGAGAAGGCAGGGGGTGCTCTCATACGCCTCCCAGAGTGCCGGGCATTGCTGAGTATACTCCAGAACTGAGTGGGGTCCATCCCTCATTGACTGTCTGGCACATGTCCCCAACCCCCTACTGTCCCCCCACCTGCAGGGGGAGCAGGAATGTAGCCCCTGCACCCCAGTCCTGCTCCCACACCAAGCTGGGGTCCGCCCATGGAGCCCCATGCTGGAGGGCATTTCTCTGTCACTGCCTGGCTGCACAGCCCTGCCCCGCGCAACTCTCTGCCTCTGACCCACAGAAGGGAGGGGAATCAAGCCCCCCACCCCAATCTTGGTCCTCCCCAAGCTGGGATCTGTCCAGCTTGGGGGAGCCACATGCTGCAGGGCAATTTTCCCCCATCCCTGCCTGGCCGGGCCAGCTTTATTGAAGAAACGATCAGGCCCCCATACCAGGAAGCCTGGCAGGCAGCAAGGAGGCTTGTGTCAGTGGTGGGACCTGATCCTTTCTTCTGTGGAGCTGGGACAGGGAAAATCCCTGCCCTATGAGGGTCTGCCCAGATCAGGACATCCTGAGACAGGGGCAGGGGGAACCCCCTTGCAGCACTGGGCTCCCTCCAGCCAAGCAGATCCCAGCTTGGGGGGACTGAATCTGGAGCAGGGGGGCTTTTTTCCCCCCTCCCCCATGCAGGTCAGAGGCAGAGGCTCACAGGGGGCAGAGCTGTGCAGCCACCCCTGCTCATGTGGTGGGGGGAGACACTCCCATAGTGTGTCCACCCCCCTCCAGCCAGGCAGACCCCATCTCAGGGGGAGACTAGGGCCAGGATGGGGGACTCTGGTCCTCCACCTCCTCTCCGCTGCACCACTGGACTGACAAGCACAGGCAGGATTCAGGACTGGGGAGAAAAGATTTTTCTGCCTTAGCTCTGTGACAGCTTAGGGGCAGGGGCAGGGCCAGCCAAGTTCGGGTGGAGCAGAGGAGTACTGGCAGAGTCTAGCCTGCCTGTCCTGTGAGGTTGAGGTTAGTGGGGAGGCCACAAGGCATTGTAGGATGCTGGGAGACTGTGACCTAAATTGAGCTGGGAGTGGATCTTGAACAGAAGGTCTATAGACTTGTCTAACATAAACTGATTAAATCTGATACTACATCCATTCAGGTCTATATTAAACTGGGTTCCACCATTTTGAAACTGGTCTACATGCACTAAACTGCTGTTCTGTTACTGGTTTAGGCTCGTTTCCAATCACTTATACCGGTTTATGTGTCATTTCTGTCCCTAGCCCAGATGTCCCCATTAACCCAGAGTATTCCCCAAGAGAGGCAATCTTCCCAGTTTGTGATCTCTTACATGGCTCCAGATTCTAAACTAAACCAATTACTTCATTTCTTATAGCTGAGGTTAAAAAATAACTTCTTACACTTTCTGTCCTATTGTCTTTCACATTCTTTTAGCTAAGCCCCCAGCTACCAAACCTTGTAGTAACTTCTTGGCATAAGTGGCTTCAGTATATACTAACTACTGACCCCAGCAAATTTCCTTATTGTTGCAATATTTCATAGCTTTAATTTTGTTACATAAGTGTCATGTGAACTGGTAATACCAAGAGGTAATAATGATTTAACAGAATAACTGGGAAAGATCAAGGTCCAGTAACTCCCACTGTGTTTCTCCATTCAGGATCTGACATACAAACATGCGCACACCCCCGGTGCCTACAATTACAGGGCTTGGATCATTTGGCATATATCTGTTTAGCTCATTTAGACAATCCTTCCTACTCAATCTTTTAGATGGACCATATTTAAGATTCAGATGTTCATGATTTATATGGAGATAGTAACATAGTCCCTACATACAAGTACAGTGTGTTTAACATAAATCCTACAACCATATTATAGGCATCTAATTTTCTATTATAAGTATCCAGAGTCCTTGGAGTGGAAATGAGGATTCTTAGTCCTAAAAATAATTCTGTTTCTAAACTTATCAGAAGTGGCATTTCAGTCCTACTACTCTAAACTTTTTCCTGAGAATTTCACATTCCTTTAAAGTTTTAATTAGTTTGTCAGCGCTTGCAAAGGACTTGAAGAAACTTAAAGGTCAATGGCTGTTATAATTAGAAACTGAAAAGAGGAAAACAGATTGCTCCCTTATTACTTTATCAGAATTGAGCAGCTCCAGATACCTCACTGGCTGTAAACATCAAAAATCCTTTAATGGACATCTGTGCCAAGATGGACTGTCATTCACTGCATTCTCCACTTGCACTTGGAAAAGATATACATCTGTTTTGTCTATGCCAGCCTGAGAGAGGGTAAACATTGAAGTACTCAGACAATCTCTGGCTCCAGTATCCTGATATGTAACTAGTAAATGATGTGTGCAGCCCATAAACAGCCTATAAACTGCTCCTTTCTTTTTGCAAAACACATCTGCTAAGAATTTGACTTTTAAATTTCTTGGCAAAATCTATTCCTGCTAGAAAAGAATTATTTTTTAAATCCCTTCTCATCAAGCTTGATCTTTTGAACTTATTTGTGCCTCTTCCCTACATAGCTGGAAGGGTACATGTTGCATCTGCTGTTTCTGCTCTGCCTTTTCAGCATCTCAAATGCATGTATATGGCAATTGTAGAATGAATATAGGAGAAATTAAAGTTAATGAACAAATTGCCATCAATTTTGTATCTGGGCTGGACAATTATGCCATTTCCTCAGCTGCTAAGGTATCCCAAGAATATTTGTTTACAGAATAGGTCCTAGATTGCACGGTACCTGCTAGTATTTGAAGGGCATGTCAACTGCCCCTTAAATTGGGCTTAAAAAGCAAGTTCTTTGCAAAGAAATGGAATTTCATACAGTGTTTGTGACCAAAGTCCAAAACGTTGGCTGGGTTGGGTGACATTGCCCTGAATGATTTTAAAGACTGGGAGCACTTGCAGCATTACCAGCTGTTATCCAGTGCGCATTTGCAAACATTACATACCTTTAACATTTATGTGAGAACATGTTTTGCAAGGTCAGATATAAAATGGTAGCTCTGAGTAAATTGTTTTGGACTTCATACATCCTGTATTCAAAGTCATATAGGAAATTCATTCACTTTCCTGATACAATATTGAACATCTGTAAAATGAAACTTTTCTTCACTTATTTAATATTCAACAAGTCTCTCTGCCATTGCCCTAATGCTAAGTTATGGGGCCTGAAGTCACTCCGTCCTCATCCCCATTGAGAACTCATAGATTTAATAGAACCACTTTACAATAGTGATATGAAAGCCCAGAGATAAAACACTCTGAAGCTAAACCAAATGACATATTTGAAAATGGATCAAAGGGCAGCTTTACATGTGCTCTGGCATGGGGGCTGGGCACTTTAATTAGAGCGCTCACATCATCTCGTGTATTCAGCGTCCTGTGCTTCTAAATGGCAAAAGGAGCACTTTAACTAAAGTTCATTCAACCTCCATTCAATACTGAGTACTGCATAGTTTCTGTACCACTCAAATTACTACAAAATTAGTCACCCTGGGTTTCAGGGTGCCCTACTTTCTTCGGACTTCACTCAGGCTATGCTTGACTTCTAGTCTCTTCTTTTTTATGGTCCACACAAAGGGAAGACGTTTTCTTTTAACTAATTGCATATCAGTTAACATGAAAGGTAGTTCATCTTTAGGCATTCAGTCTGTAGATATGTATGTCTGAAAGATTATCTAAGGATATATCACGCTCTCATACCAAGTATAGTTAAAATCAGTGTAAGGATGGCTTACTTGAAAGCAGACTGTGAACAGCTGCGTTCCCATTTTTGTACCTATGTGAATATTTCTAATGTCCTCTAAAAATACAGCCAGTTTTGTATTCTGAGCACTAAATCACACTGTATGAAAAGCATTTTCTAAATTGGT